ATCAATTGTTTTACTGATAACTATTGAATTTGCTTTGGTTTGATTCTTTGTCCATCATCTCTCCGCAGCAAACAACACTAGGATGTGCCTCGACACGTTAACCTTCATTATTTTTCGAAGTTCTTTCGCTCTACAAAAGTCTGGAAAATTCGTCATTAAGTTGGGTACGATAACCTTACTTAGCGTGGAAGAAGTGAGACGGGGGGGTAAGATTGAGCTTACCCCATCCCCACTCCCTCCCTGTTCACATTAAAATACAATTCCATATGTATTATTTGCTTCTATACCATTCCGAAAGAATATTGTACACCGCACCGCAATGCGCTATATAAGTAAAATAATAAAGTTGTTATAATCATTATCATTAAGTGATAGTTACCTCCAAATGTGATTCACATGAAATCGATGCCAGTGATTTGTCCAACATACACAAATAGAAACACTGAAACAAAAAATGCGTGCGTAAGGCTAGGCAATCGGAAAAAGAATAAGTAAGAAAAATGAATAAGTAAGAAAAAAAAACCACGCAAGGACAATATGAACGTTCTTTTCGTAGTCTGCACACATGGATAACAACAAAGCGCAAAACAGACACGATAACCGCGGATTAGACTGGCTTGATGTCTGCTCCAATAAAAAATATGAACAGTGTTGCGAGGGGACCTGCACTAAAAGCCCGAGCGAGTCGCGTATGGTTGAAATATTTTTTGCTGCAGTTTTCTTCATTAGCTTGATGACACTTGAAACAAACGCGCTTGTGATCAGTCAAGGATTACATTTGAGGCGGATCGTAAGTAGTTGCAAAATTTGAAATCACAACGGTGACAGGACTTTGATTATTAGTGGCAAGGAAACTATAATTCTACTAGTCTATTCAAGCTTGTATCTAAATTATTTTCCAAATAGCCATTCGAGTTCATTCGATAAGTTGATACAGTCACCAAATGTTGTCATAAAATCGTGAGGCGTATCCCTGAAATAGCATCACTAACATTTTCATAAAACAATATTTCAAGGATGGGACAAGAAAGCGTGGTGAAACTTCACGCTGGCCGATCTTTCTTCCCCTCCAAACAGTCGTGAAATCTTTTAAAGCGAATGTCGCATCCATCTAAGGATGGAAAGTTACCTGGCCTAGTTTGAACTTATTTTAAACTCGCTTGAAAGGAGTTGTAGTTTTGGTTATTCCTTGGTGCAACTGAAATAAAGTAATCTTACCGTTGTCAATTCAGACACCTCAGAGCGAGGCAGTAGTACTTCTTTTACGATAAAGAAAAGAGGCTGCTCTCCGTGATCAAAAAAGCACCCGACAAACACGAAAGAGAAAGCTAATTAATCTGGCTTCAAC